GAGTCCAAATTATTGCATTGCTCCATAAATATATAAATTATATCAGCCGCGCAGTCCCGCTCTCTATATTGATTGTGGTGATTAATAAATTAAACATGCGTTTTGTAATTCTCTCTCTCAAACCTACCTCTGATACCAATACTCTTCATAAGTCATAAGTTTGTTATTAAACTTTGTCTGATTGGCGGTCAGGTATGTGCCGATCCAACCCACGGCATACATCACATGTCTTACATACAGGTCTGGTCTTAGCATTTGTTTATTTAGTTTCATAGATTTGACGAGCATTTTGTCAAAACCAGTTGTGCCGTCACTTTCGCCCAACAAATACTTCTTCTGCCACTCGCTATACAATAAAAACAGGACTTAAAATCATAATACATGCATTATTTACTCAAATTTTAATAACCCTTCCTTTCTCACCACACATACCATATAACATGTCTGCCCGCGCCGTCGCCCACCATAATTTGATCCAGGTAATCGTCGAGCATAAAAGCAAATATTGCCCAATAGTTAATGCTGTAAAAATACAGCGGGTTTTTAGTTGTAAAGCACATCTCCTGAAAGCCGGTGATGTCTACGCTGTCGACCACTGGTTTGCCAAACGCTTCGCTCAGCATTAGGTTAGTGTCGGCCAAAGTGTTCGAGTGATGAGGAATGCGCACAATCCTCTCCTCGACGAGACCCCGGATCTCAAACGACATGAGCATCTCGTGGGTCAGGCCTGAGATGTGTCGGGCGTTGGAGTAGTCCTTGTTTTTGAACTCCTCGGGCATCGATTCAATAAAGGTCACTTTTGGTGCCAACTTGGTCAGTACGTTAGGCATGGCTGGTTTAACGTAATGAATTTGTTTTATACGGAGGCAGTACCAAGGTACGTATGCGCAAATGGAAGCCAAATAAGTATGAGTCCTTAATTATTAAATAAATATTTAGTTACATTGATAACTTAAGGATTAATAAATTTGCTATTAACCACTTACACAAGTACAGTGTATATTGTAAGAGTGTTTAAAAATAACTTCTCGGTAATCTCAGCATAAAACCCTTGTGTTGTAATTTATACACTATTTATATGTTAATAATATATAGTGTACTCTAATATAATAAATATTTGACAATACACCTTGGTGATTCAATAATCACGTTATGTTTGAAATATCCCTTATTTCAACCTAAACGCTTTTAGTATATTGATTAACTTCAAATTACATAAATAATTAAATATAATTATTTTATTTTATGATTTATAAATATTAGTAGCATTTATAAATGTTATAAATATTTGCATTATTTAACATAAATCACACAAGTTACAATATAACTATAATAATTAAAATACAGTATTAATAAATAAAATAAAATTAGTTTTATTAAACACCATATTTCCGGTAAAATGATTTAATTTCGTTTATATTTACCACGCACATTGCATACGTTATATAAAGTAATTGCAAATTAAATATATTATAATTAATTGTAAAATACAAAATTATTAAATTACGCAATATCAGAAATGACGCATTTGTAAATCATATACTTATATACTGTAACTACTTATTAGTGTAGTTATTGTATTGTCCACACATTATGTTTAAAAAACTGACCATTTTGATTTCAATTATGAGTTAAAGTATCCATAAAATATTTTGTACTATTAATTATAATATTTTAATACCATAAGTTTATGTTATAATTTTAATAATTTAATATTAATTAACTAACACACTAATTGACTAATTAACATTATCTAAATAAAAAATGAGTTATATTATTTGATAAGCATTACTAATGCTGCATTATGCTCAAACAATTGTATTGACAAATTCAAAATCACACATTTTCATTGCATTAATAAAATATATAAAATTTTATTATTAAATGTAATTTTTTTTTAATTTTAAAAATTATGTAATTAAAATTAATAAAACACATTTGCTATTGAATATACAAAACATTTAAAATACAAAAAAATTTACACTTAAACAGTTTATAGTTGTATTTAATCACAATCACTGAATCATGTGGGAGTACATTACATTGATCATGATAATCTTATCCTACATATTATGGAAATTGCTATTTGAAGTCAAAGAACCCATATATGACGTATGTATCTAGTTTAAGTAGATAAAATATATCAACAAATTATGACTATGGTCATTTTTACTTAACACAGCTTAAGCCGATTGGAGACGTGACGTACAGCCGAGAGATGGGTTACCCCAACACGTGGTTTATTGTAATGGATTCGCGAGAATTGCCCGTAAATAAGGTAAAGGCGTTTGAGTTATGCGGACAACAATTGGTGGCGTTTAGGGGGCCGTCGGATGCGGTCCACGTCCTCACCGCCTATTGTCCACATTTGGGCGCAAATCTCGGTGTCGGCGGACATGTGGTGACTGAGTCAG